CACAGGCATTGGATAGTATAAGAGCAGCCTTGTATTACATGATTTACAGAAGAACCTTGTATGTATACATTGCCTGTGAGCTCACTCTCCAGATGCCTCTTCTGCTGGACTGATCAAGTGCAAGTGTCAAACCACATTTATTGTTATATTCATGTAGAAATTTTTTCTATAACTGGTTTAGCTTCCACATAAAGCTGTCGTCAGCATATCTCACATTTAAGTGTATTTGTTTAAGAAACTTCAGGGCTCATTCAATGTTCCTGACAACTAATTCACAATGGTCCCCAGATATGGGGCTTCCCATTGGGACACCCATCTTCTGCACATTTGAAAGCATAGAAAGCTTAGTAATGAAGTATATGGGCAAAGTTTAAGATCTGATACAGTATTTATTTGTATCTTGTTTGGGAGAAAAAGGTACAGAAACAGGCTTTAACAAGTGGTATGTTGAGGTAAAATAAAGGTCCATGAAATGTTCTGCTTCTGTTACACAGCTATTTTTTAATCTTGAGATTAGCTGAAAGCTGCTGGAAATGATATATTGGTATCCTTTGAGATACTTATGGAGAACTTGATGTATTTTTCATTCCATGAGAATTGTAGAGATTTGGCCTTGTCTAATATTTTTTTTTTACAGACCTGTTTTATGGGTTTTCACATAACTGAAAAGCCTTGGGATGTCAGACGAGGTCACGATATCATGAGGGAGGTTCATAAGTTTTACTAATTTAGAGTGTATAAGCCTATTTATTTTGCTTTGTAGCTTTTTGACATAACATGCCTTCACTTGTACACATTCAGTATCAGCTATGTATTTTTCCATCTGCTTGACATATGTAGACCTCTTTAACTCCTTAAGGACATTGACATTTTTTATATAGATTTCAATTAAACGTAAAAAATACTTAAAACAGAAAAAAAACGAAAGAAATGCGTTTATTTTGAAGAAAAAGCTTTAAATTTTATTTTCCTTTGTTTCGCCTGTCTGTGAAATGTAACACCGATGAGTCATTGTTTACACAGCTGGGTGACCTTGAACACAGCTGGAGTCGGATTTCCCGGGACATTCTCATAGACGTCTCGGGAGGACAAGGGTTTAAAGTAGGGTGACTATAAGCGACACAGAAATTTTTAAATATTTTTAAAAAATTCAATATTTTATTGCGATTTCCGACCCCCCTAATTAATTAANAATATGTTTATTAAAAAAAATTCAATATTTGTTTTATATTATATTTATATTATATAATAAAATTGCGGTACAGAATAAAAAAGTACAGAACTGCGGCCCCCATGCAATTTGCAAAACCTACATTTCGGCTCCCACTGAACTCTTGCTTGCCCACCCCTGGTATATTAATTTCTGATGCAAACCAGAAGTTATTTCAATTCAAAAATTTTCCCCTGTAATGAGTTAGATAGATGACAAATGACACTGTTGCTAACAAGAAAAATATAATATACAGAAGCAAGCTACTATTAATTTGAAGTGGAGAGTGCATATTTTAATTTTTAAAATATAATTAAAAATTGCAGCATGATATTGTGATGCTGTCACAATAAATAATTGCTCATTTTCTTTGAGTCATATTTCAGCTTTTAGCTTTTTATTGCCATAAAATAGAGTAATGTAAAGTAATTTTATAGAAAATTAATAGTAAAAATACAGGATGATCTATTTGAGATGTCACTAAATTTAAAATGTGTAGATAATAAAATAATGCAATTTGAGGTTACTAAATATTATGTATCAAGTAAATAATGAAAAGAAATGGTCATGCATGCACTTTCGACATTTACAAAAATGTCTTCATCAGGTGAAGAATGAAAGAACATTTGCTAGAATGTTAGTATAAAATTATAACAAATATACTAGTGCTAAGACAGCTTTTCTTTTTCACTAGACTTATTACACCATCAATGAAACGGAAAACGGAAAACAAACTTTAGAAAGACTTTTTATTTATTTGAGTCTTTCTAAAGTTTGTTTTCCGTTTCATTGATGGTGTAATAAGTCTAGTGAAAAAGAAAAGCCGTCTTAGCGCTCATATATATGTACACAAGACTAGACAAGAAGCATATCGCATAAATAAAATTATAACGTTAACTCATTTCAGTTGGAACAAAATTACAAAGAGGAGCTTGAAACTGTTATAACATTTGAACATAAGGATGAATTGGTTTCCATTTAGAGTCAACTGCAGAGTAGCTTAGCACTACTTTATTGCAGCAAAATGAATTACATTCACTAATTAATAAAGAAATTTAAATTTCTTTATTTCATTTAAAGAAATTTTATTTCTTTATTACAAATTAATTCTTTAAGGATTTGAACAGCATGACCATATCCTTGGGACTTCCGGTGTGGGTTTATTGTAGGGTCCTAGTTTTCAGGTGAACAAAGCTTCCCAGATAAAAATAATTCTGCGGTCCATACATTGTGCTAAGAGGACAGTCTCGTTTCAAGTTGGTACAAAGTTATTCTCTCACTTTTTTAGCTAGCTCTATGGTATGTCTTGTTACATATGTATAATGATGCTCTAATATGCAGCTATGTAACATTCTTGTTGTGGTCCTGATGTAATATATTTTTGTACTACTGTTTCGGTGTATTAGGGTTATCAGTCAAACACCTGGCTTTTCTAATATGGATAAACTCTCTTTTATTGCAAAATATTCTAAGTAAAGTCATTTGCCTTTTTTTTATTAGTAAATGCTGGTAATGCTGAAAAGACAGTGTTTTCAGTACAGTTTACTTGATGAACATTTAGCATGGTAAAAAAAATTCTCTCTCTCTCTCTCAATATCATGTATATGTGTTGGAAGGTTGTAAGTTTCAGGATGGTGCATGTTTATTTCAATACTCTGCTTTGTGATGGCACATGTGCTTAGGGATGCAAAATAACAGCCTAGTGTATGACATGTTTAACAACTTACAAATCAGCTGCTTTCGAGGCCCTTATAAAAAAAAATTTTTTTACCACTGTTCCAGTACATCTCTTAGGCAGCAGGAAATAAGATGCATTTATCACATTTCTACCACATTAGGATACCAGCTCAACTTTATCACCTCGTTGATAGAATGCCATTGTTCTCATTTAAATTCTAGCTTTAAAAAGACTAAGCCATACAGAACAGTCACCTGCAGCAAATTCTTGAACACGGTCTACAAAGATATGGCTCAATTTGAATTTGAACTGCTTATAAAAGGAACCTAAATGTATTCTCCTTACTTGGGAATGACAAAGATCCTGTGATCAAAATACTCTTCTGAGCATTCACTCAATAGCTTTGAATATATTGGTGCCATGTGTAGATCTCTGTATACCATGATCAAAGAACATCATGACTCAATCAAAAAATGCCTGAGTACTACTACTTTAGCGGCCTTTGTCTCTGACCAGGACATTGCTGTCATTTTTGATAGGGCACATCTAATAGATCATGCATTAACTCCTTCTCATCAAAACATCTGGAAATCTATAAAGCAATTTATAAAGGAACTGCAATTAACAGTAGAGATACAATTTGATTGTCACATGCATGGAGGGCTTTGTTTGAAGTTGTCTAGTTTCATTTAATGTGTGTCGTTGTTATTACACTTTGATTAATTTTAATCTCCTTTTGTTATATGTTTACACATTTATGTAATGTTCTTTTTATTTATATTCATTTTGTATTTTTATTTTAACTAATTTTCTGTATTTATATTTAATTGTATTTTAAATATTAACCAATTTATACATTCAACCGTTGTGCATTTGATATGTAATACGATTCAAATCATTTAATTGTTTGTATCGATATTTTAAAGTTTGTTTTTTCTGTTCTATCATCAGAACCTGATGATTGTCTTTAAATGAGATTGAAAACCATTAGTTCATTAAATTTGTTTTTATTACTGGATTAAGGTGCATTTTTAAGAATGATATTTAAATTTGAACTGTGAAATTCTATGCAAATTTCCTATTTTATTTGATTATTAATAGTATATTTTTGTGAAGAAGTTAAAACAAAAAATATTGGATGTATAAAAATAAACTTTTTAGCAAAGTGACTGTTGATGATTATATATGTGTGATATACATGTAATTTGCAGTATTGTTAATGATAAATTAGTTTCACTCTGTCCTGAAATAAAACTGTTTCAAATAGAAAGTTACTAATTTTCAGTTGTTCTTTTTAATTGTTTAAGAAAATGTTGTTATAATATTTGTTGTTTAAATTTTTATCAAACCTTGTATTTTAAATTAAGTTGATTATTGGGTGTAGCATCTATTTTTGACTCTGTTTTTAATGTTCAACTTAACTGGCCTTAATTCAAGAAGCCAAATTTTTTTAATGCTTGACATTTTCAGAAACTTTTAATTCCATTTTTGAAACTTGAACATTGAAATTTGATCTAAAGTAAATAAAGATGATAATGTTCTGTTTTAGAACTAAATGGTTGGCTATTTCTAAGACAAGATACATGTTGATATTCCACTTGTTTTTGTCAAAGTTAATATGTTAATTTTCTTATTCAGTTCATATAACTATGATTATAACAGTTAATTATGTCATCAATAGATGAAATAAGAATAGGTATAATTTATTAGTTTGAATGGAGACTAAAAGATAACAATTGATTTCATTTTCTAGTACCAATTAAATAACATTATTTTTAGTTAGTTTGTGCCTATTTTAAAACATTGACTCAAATTGTAAACATGTACACTATTAAAGATTTTTTAAGTTATTAAGATGTTTTATACAAAGTTTACACACAAAAATTAATATTTATAGATATTATTAATATCAGAAATGTTTGAGGTTTCATTTTGTGAAAAACTAATAAAGAATTTGTTATATTCTAGGAATTATTAAAATTATGTTAAGATGCAATTACTGTCCATTTTCATTAATTTAGTACATAGTTTCCATATTTAATTGTTATTTTGTAAATTTAAGTAACTTATTCATTAGAGAATTTTGAAATTAATTAAATATTGTTTTGACAGGATCAAGTGAAAACATTAAAACGCCACTTGGAGGGATGGCGAGAAATATTATTACCAGTAAATTCAGTTCTTATGTGGGAAAAACCTTTCTATCCTGCAATTTTAATAGGAGTAACTTCGTTTATTTTCCTGTTAGTATGCTCTGAATATTTTTACAAGATTTTTTTCAAATTGACTTAATAGATACTGTATATTTTTCCAGATTGGTTTGGATATGTGAACCATCTGTATTAACCACTTTTGCATTATTGGGATTATTGGCAAGCATTTTGGATTATGCAGTTCCTCTGATCAGTGCAAGCTTCTTTGATGCAAACAAATGGTAACATATTCTTCTAATTTCTATATTACAGTTACTCATTATAACTTTATTCATTCTAATATATTTTCTTTAATATAGGACAGGCACAGAAGAACAGAAATTTGAGGATATCTGCCGAGGGTTGGTATACACTCGTCAATGCTTACAAGATATATGGGATACCAGTGCTCATTTGAAGGAAGCAAAACCTAAAGTGGTAAGTATAATTAATTTTAAAACATGCAAAGTATAGTAATAATAATAGTATATAATTAAAACTTTGTTCTTTATGGAATAAAATATTTTTTTTTTTTGCAGTACTTTGTGGTTGTGTTGATAGGTCTTATATTTGTTGCTTGGATTGGAAGTTTAGTGGACAATCTGTTCCTCACTTATTTATGTGGTGAGTAATTACAATGTGAAATTATACAGTTGTTATTAGATAAAGTAATCAATAAAATTTTCTAAATTAGTTTAAATTTGTAAATATGTGCAATAAAAAAAAAAACAATTATTTAAAGTTTTAATTTATCGTGGTGCCATATTGATATGAATATTTACACATTTATTCCATAAAACCTAAAGTACTATTTAAAAATTTTGAATATTTGCTTACTTAAATTTAGAATATATATATTTATTTGCACTGTTTTTTAATCTATTTTCTTTCAAATATTTAGTAATTCAACTTGTGATGCTACCTGGTTTGAAACACAATGGAATATTGGACAAATATACTTCAAAAATAGTTCAGATGATAAAAAATTTTGCAGGCCCAAAGGTGAAAAAGAATTAAGGATTGACAGTTCTGCTTGTTTTTTAGCATATATATCATGCTATGTATTGTGTAAAAAAAAAACTTGATAACTTTTATATGTGAGAAAATCAATACCTGTATATTTAATTGGATAATATGGTATAATCCGCTTAAATGTTTTTATATGGAATGATGATATTATTTTATGTTTTTAATCTGATTATGTATATTAAATGGCTCATATTATTGCATTTGAAATCCATAGTTTATTTCCATAAATTATTAAAATAATAAAGTTGTTTTTCTTAATTAAGAAAGTGGAAAATTAGTAAAAAAAAATGTATTTTTACAAAATAAACTAAAGAATAATAATTATATTAAATATTCTAATATTGGAAATCCTATTCTGCACAATTGAAACAGTGAGAATTTTTTCATTCCAAATGTACACTGAACATTGTTTTGGTGAAAAATAAAAAAATCTAAGTGGATTATACTTAATTTTTAATGTTCTGCATGCATATCATATTAAGTTTAACAATTTATAATGTCCATATATTCATGTAGGTAATATATAATCATTCTCAGTTATTACTTAAATTTGTGATATTGTTCAATTAACCATATAAAATTTGTACAGAATAGTTCCATCTATTTATGTTATGGGAATTTTCTTTATTTATATATTATCGGAATGTGCAAAATATCTGCACCTTTTTCACACAAATTGCATGTAGATAGTATATGTTTATTAAGGTATTGTATTTTTGAAATATTTCATTTAAAAATATTTATTTTATTTTTTAATTTCAATTTATTACATTTAATAAATGGTAATTCTCACATTTGCAAATAGATGTGCTGCGTAATGGGATGATTATGTTAACTTCTGTAAAAAAAATGAGAGAGATTTTATNTTAATTGTTTTCTTTTATGTAATAGTCTTAACCAAGTAAATTTTATTTAGAGTTTTAGATATAATCAAGATAGCTCTACATATTGAAATTATTTTTAACTTTCCTTTTTTTCTTGTTAAATTTCTACATTAACATTCTTTACTTTATTTGTGCCAATTATTTTTGTAGTTATTCAATGGTCCTGTTACATAAAATCAGTGTTGTGATTTTTGTAATTGCACTTCTAAGCCATAGTTGTGATGTTCTTGTGATTATATTAGTGATGTTTAAATGGAATGTTTACAGCTATGAGAGTAAATAGTGGATGAATTGACCACTCTGCTCCACATTTTCTCTCTTTCAAAAGAGAAAAATTCTCTCGGAATACATTGTGCTATTTTATCTTAAAATCTAGATCCAAAACCAGCGTGTATTTTGTGCAATAAATGAGATCATTTGGTAATTTTATGGTTATATCAGCATTAAATAGTTTTGTATTGTGCTTAGTTGTTGCTGTATATATCTGAAATAATTTTTTGCTCAATGTAACAGGAGGAATGATTTTAAAAATGCTTGTTGGATATTTGGCAGATATACCTTTTTAGAAAGTGTAACTATGTTGGAAAGTGAAATGAAAAATTTTATGGAATACCAAAATTGTCCAAAAATATAGTTAGATATCTAATTAAAATAACTTGTTCTTCAATGTTTTTGTTGTAAATGGGAAATGTTGCTGAAAAAATTCAATGATGATTACGAATTAGATATAATGTTAAAGTTTTAGAATACATTTGACAGTCAAACTAAGAGAATGCCAAAGGAAGTGTTTGCAAAGTTACGATCTAAAATTCATCTTCAACATTTTATAAATTTGTCTTTGAATCTGTTTGCTACTCATGCTTGAATAAATAAATTTTTTCTGAAGTATGTTTTTGTGAATTTTATTTATTTACAAATCGGTTATCTATGTCTGCTCCAACAAAGTTACAATTCAAGGAATAATCATTTTAACACTAGAAAGAATTGATTTACAACTGTTTAAGAAATATTACAATCAGAACTATTATTTCTATAACATTAATGATTATAAATGATTAATACATACCAAATCTATTTATTAAATAAAATATAAAGAATAAAAACTTGTATTATTAATACTTTTATATTTTCTTGGTTGTACTACTTTAAAATGTTTATTATAAATTTCATATTGCATGTAATGAAATTTAACTCTGTTCATTCAAATATCACACGAAGAAAAGAAAAATTTTAATTTCTATTATTTCAAATTGTATAAAAATTTTTCTTAATTTTGTGATATTTTCAAAATAATTAAGTCTATTGCTAACTTCAAATTCCGTCTTTGAAGACTTAATTCATTCTCTTCAATTTTACCATTAAATACGTGCTATGACATTTTATCTAGTAAACTAGATTTGATTTGAAGAGTAATAAATTTGCAAATTAATTGTGATATATTTACAATTGAAATTGAATAACTTCTTTTTTCAATTCTAAGATGCCAACTGAACTGATTGTGAAATCAATGAAATTTTTAAGTAACAAAGAAAATACAAATACCATGAAATATGTGATGATCTTCAATTACCTAAATTAGTAACAGATCGTTAAATATAATCAATGCTGTATTATGTAGAAGCTTTAGAGTTAAACGTGCTTATTTTGGCAGGCACATCTATAAAAGTTTGCCAACTTTGATTTCAGTAAGGATGGGATTCAAACACGTAATCCTAAGCTAATAACAAAATATCATTCAAATGATAGATTTAAAAGCAAGAGGTCCTTATTTAGCTATGTATAAATCTAATCTGATTTAAGACTCTGTTCTATCGACTCAAAAAAAAATAATAATAATCTACACCTAATTCTTACACGAACGAAAATTTGTCAAGTACAGTCGACCCCCTATAACACTGTTGATTATTCTGTTTTATATGAATTCCATGTATAAGCATTTATACATATACACAGTATATAACTGCATATAACTTAATCGGGATATTCCACCTCTAAGCTTTTTATATTTAGTCTCGATATGCATGTGTCGAACTCCGTTCTCGAGATTACAGAAGAACAAACACGCAGACGGACGGCAGTGGGAATTTATAGGTCTACAATTTGTTCAAATTGCAGCCCAATTTAAATAAACAGATGTGCATCAACGATATTAATTTATATATTCATATTTAAATAAATTTTTATATACACATAAGTATGTATTATCTATCTATATAAATAAAAATGTAAATGTTCATTTGTTCAAAATCTTAAATCTCCGAAAGTTCTTAACCGATTGCTTTGAAATTTTGACACAACGTTGCATTCGACTACGCGCGTGTTTTTATATTATATAGATGTCGAAATCCCCCCCTGAAGAGAGGGACAAAATTCAGGATTACCGTGAAGAACTGGTCTTCTATTATTTTATTTTAGATGCAGTTTTTTGTGTTTTAATAGAGCAAGTCAAGAGAATGTACTGTACACTAAGAAGGGATTTTTCAAAATTCCCTCCCGTGGGAAGTATTATACATTTAAAATAGATACATTTTGAGTCACAGCAACGCGTGGCCGGGCGCAGGTAGTATATATACAGTAGAGCATCGTTTATCCGAATCAATTGGGGACTCGGGTTGTTCGGATAACTTATTTTTCGGATAATCAATTATGTACGAAAAAATATTAACTTATCCCGTGTTGAAATTTTTCTCCGTTGCGTGTCGCTTCGCGTTGAATTTTCGTCGATGTTAAGCCTAACGAAGACTATTGTATCGTTAAAAATTATTTTTTTATTTTGTACAAACAAAATAAATATATTTAAAAATATAACAACAATAAAAAAAATTATACTTCAGAACTTAATTTAGTATCAAAAACGTAAAATATTTGAGTAGCCCAA